AATCAAATAATTGAACATACCAATAAACTACCATAGCCAATAACACATATGTAACTTATTTTATTTTTGTTGTTCATTTACATCACTTTCATCAGGCAATTTTTTAGTTTAATATCAGGTGTCAAAAGAGCATGGCACCTAGTAATGAATGTGCCAAATGTCTCCACTTCGTTCCACTGCCCCAGTGACTTGAATATCTTGGGTTCTGCCACCCTTCATGCAGATCTAGATCCCTCCGCTTCGCGTCGGGCTCCTGATCAGCCTGTCGGGTGTTCTTTTCCCCATAATGACCGCGTCGCTGCACATTATCCCTTACAAACTAGCTAAGTTAGCTAGATGTAATTCATTCTTAACTGTAGGCTTTTATCAAAGTATTAATTTACTTAATCTAAATGTAACAACATTTTAAATTATAATGACTTACATTTATGGCGTTATGACCTTCTTCTTGAGGTGATTGTGTCCAAATAAAGTTATGTCTGCTTCAACTTGCTGTTGTCTGTCTTGTCAGGCAGTTTTCCTTCAGCTCTGAAAATGACAGCTTTCCCGCGTATCGGTGGCTCGAAGTTGCCGCGAGCGCTAGGGGGCAGCACTTATAATTCTTTTAATAAAAAAAAAATTTTTTTTTTGTTTTCAGCGGCGCAGCGCCGCTGCTGAAAACATATAGGGGAAACACTGGACTGTGTTAGAGATTTACTTGCTACAGGGTGTACTTTGAGGGTTTGTGACTCTACAGACCGTTTACATGCAGAAAAACCTTCATAACACACAAGGGGACGGGTAATAACCAGAAAAGCATGACATGGGACCTTTAAGCCAGATAACTCGGAGATATTCAGAGTATGTTGAACTGGTTCCCTCATTTTGAAGTCAATGTTTTTTTGAACGTGATCGTGCAGTGTGCGATGCAGAGGGAGTAGTTGAATTAAGATCTGTGGTTGACACATAATGCGTCAGTCCAAAAAAATGTTCCAAAGTTAAAGTGGCTAAATGGGACAACTAAACATGGATGTATGAAGAGAACTGGTTACATTGTCAGAGGCGGGACCCTGGTCGTTCCTCTGAACGTTGCCTCTCGAGAGCAAAAGTACCCATACCTGGGCCCAAAAATAGCCAATACTCAACCAACTGTAACTAGTGTGTTTGGTCTCCAGTCGAAGAGGATCTCAGCGAAGGACGCCCTGGCCCACCCGTACCTGGACGAGGGTCGCCTGCGCTACCACACCTGCATGTGCAAATGCTGCTATACCACCTCCACCGGACGCGTGTACACCAGCGACTTCGAGCCCGTCACTAATCCCAAGTTTGACGATGACTTTGAGAAGAATCTCAGCTCTGTGAGGCAGGTCAAAGGTACGTTTACCTGCTGTTATTCACTTAATGGTGTTGCGATGAAGGACATGACTATATACAACTTCATTTGGATAACATGAGTAAGACATGCTGTCGGTGTTTCATCCTCTCAGAGATCATCCATCAGTTCATCCTGGAGCAGCAGAAGGGGAGTCGGGTGCCACTCTGCATTAACCCTCAGTCAGCTGCTTTCAAGAGCTTCATCAGGTGGGAATCTAGCTGAGATGATTTATGACCCAATTCCTAACCTGTAAAAGTGTAATGATATTGGGCTTCAGCATCAAACATGTCAACGTTTGTTTGTTTGTTGATTAAGGTCATTTGATGATGTGTAGTGCAACTCAATTAAAGACGTGAAAGGCCCAATAAAAGATGGAATAAAATAAAAATCTTTATATAAACAAAACAAGTTGATATAAAATGTAAAAGAATAATTTAAAAAAGCAAACACAAGGAGTTAATATAAAAAGTGGAATAAAATATCAAATAAGATGGAATAAAAATCTTTATAAAAAGTGTACACTGTACTACAATATTCTTTTAAATTAGAGGACCACATCAAAGGTAACCGCTACACATGTAACTAAGCACCAAACGTTAGAATACACTGAACAGCTGATACTAACCTCCCTCTGCCCTTGCTCCCCAGCTCCACGGTGGCTCAGCCCTCTGAGATGCCCCCCTCCCCACTGGTGTGGGAGTAGCTGCTGCTGCTGCATCCTCATCTTTCCAACACGCTGCTAGGCCGGGAACAGGAACGCCTCTCAACGTCTTCTATCGTCTGCGTAGCATTTCACTGGAGAACAGGACTCGCAGGTCTGCTGAAACATGAAACAAATGAAGAGAATCCACTGATAACTGCTTTATAGGGGTTAGAGGAGCCCGGTATGCAAATTAATGCTCTGTAGACCAAATCAGACTGTTTTAAACAAACTCATCTGGTTACTTCCAGGTAGATTACAGTTATTGTACTTTTGTTTAGCTATATATATATATATATATATATATATA